CAGTGTTACTCGGATAACCTCAATACCGCGCCGAAACTACACTAGGTATCCTGAGCCGCATTCGGCCCAGAAGCTACTTAAACAAACTCGACAAAATCAGAACAAATGTGAGCAGTGAGAAGTTATGAGGCCAGCAATCAGAGTTATTGCAACAGTGACCACGTGATGTGGATTTCGTGATTGTAGAACGATTGTCACCATATTCTAAGTGCAGTTTGGACCAGTCTCACGTGACCGAAATCAATTTGCCAGCCATGAGATCATGGGTTCGACATTCCATCGATTTTCTTGTGATGTGCGCTGCTGCTGATTCCCAGTGAGGATGAAATGACCGTATAGTGTTTCTGGGCATTGTAGCATAGTTTGGCTTCACTTACACGAAGAAATCGCAATTGAAGGTTTTATCCCATTTATGTAGACATCCAAAATGTATTCAAAAAGTATTTTAGGGTGGATAAGCACTTTCTAGATGGACGCAAGCTCGTAAGAAAGCAAAATTTCATCGGTGCGTGGAATTAATTTATACATCAAACGCTGACTGACATTCTCCACTGACACAATTTTCCAAGGATTTATTCAAGCACCCACCCTCTTGTGACTAATCGTGATTTCAGTTGCTCTTACAAATGCGCCTACGCTTTTTACGGAGCTGCGGAGCATCCCGAATTCAATTTGGTTTTGTTCCGATGCACCTCAATGGATATAACGGCGTCCATCTTTGATGACGCGGGCGCACGGTTTCGAGGGAGTCACTCACGACCAATCCATCTAGAATGCAGAGTACTTCTCATAAGGCTACTGAAAGTTCCTCAATAGCTCACCACCGGTTTCGCCCTTCTTTGGGCTCATTAAGTGGGCGCAGTCTCCGAGTTCCCATCAACCTTATGTTCTACTTGAACCCAAATTGCAACTGAGTATATTCCGTGTTAGATTCTCTCCTATTCCTCACAAACAACCTTGTCTCGAAACCCACCTCAGAAGCTCTGCTGTTTTGGCGGATACGTAGAAATCAGGCGCCTGGTTGCTAATTTCGAAGACATTTGCTCTATTCGAACAGATTAACTGTGCATCTGCTTGGTTAGGTGAAGAATAGCCACTAGCTAACGTAAACTACAACTTGTAAGATTGCTGAAAACTCTTCGAATGCATCCTAATGAATTGCGTTAGTCAAAACAATAGATTTTGACATCTCGAAAATTGTACCAATTTGAACACTGGTCGGTTTTCGTGAAGCGAATTCAGTTAAAGAATGTCAAAAACGATAGATACCATTAGGTTTCCTGTCGATATCAGAGCAATTTAGAAGTGGATTTATTTCTCTTTCTTTCTTCAGATGAAAAACACGTGTAACCGGGGATTAGGTTCATGATATTCAATGTACTCTCGGGAAACAGTAACTCAGATTTTCCTGGCAAAAATTTGTTCTGTTTTTTGTCGTCCATCTGTAAGACTCAATCCAAGATTTTTTGTGTTTTCTTCTTCGCAGTGAGAATACAATCCAAGCATTGTCTTTATTGATCTGTCCAAAAGAAGCGTGAATGAACGCACAACCACTAACCCACCGCTACGCACAACTACGCACTGATGATGTCACCTCGATTGGTGATGAAACGTTTGCAATCAAATCGCCCAGCTCAGCGAACAAGCCAACGACTTTCTGTATATTCGTCAGGTGGTAATCACACATACTCTCTTTCTCGCTCTTGTTGTACAACCAGCCACGTTCCCTTATTTTATTCAGTTTTTCAAGATCACCACATGAAGCTAGTCCACCAGCTCAGGTTACCACACAGACAAGAGAACTTTTCATCGTTGAGGCTTGTCAACCTTCAACTGTCCCTTTTCCTTCTGCTGTAATTACGTGGACGCAATGGTTAACGCGATTTCTTGCGTAAGCTTGGTGTTACATTACCGCGATGATCCTGGCCTCAAAAATCCTGTTTTCAAGTGCTGTGTTGACCAGAAATTTCCGGCGATTTTGATTTTCGAACACAGCATATTGTTCCACTTGGGCTACTTAAAACTGAGACTTTGGAACCGCAGTTCTTCTGTAAAGATAGACATCTCCATCTGAGTTGATTGCTTACGGTGAAACTACAAGACTTTCAGAGATCGAATATATATACACGTAAGCTAAGCGCCATAGTTCACTTTTACCACAAACTAGTTAACGTCTACGAGAGTGTAAGCATGAGGATCAGAATGACAAATCTGCGAGTGTCACATTCATACGAACGTACCGGTTAGTGAAAACAGAATACTTGTTTGCAAATGAACAAAGATACGACCTCGAGAAATACACTGATTTGCAAATCAATTTGGTTTTCACGAGAGACTCAGCTGAATCTGTCGTTTATGATATTCTACAACTGAATGTGCTGAACACAGACCGCCTCATTTTTCATTTGACACGATATTCGAGAGATCGCAGTATATTTTCATAAAGGAAACTACTCACAAGGTTGTTGTCGAAGAGTTTTCAGCAACCCGATGGGTAGTTTCCTTCCTGAAAACAGATGTGACCTATTATAACACCGCCCCCCCCCCTCGGCTTGGTCAAAATTAGGCACTCCATGAAGGTGCCTGTTCACTAATAGATAGAACACTTGCAACTTCCACAGAGGAACTAATTTCAGCTAAACACATCTGGAAGTACACCAGAACTGAACGTACTCAGACTCACCTCAATATTTTAAGAATGAACAGCAGGTTTGAGATGTTTTTATGATGTTATTTCAACTAGCGACTGAACGACATCAGCAAAATGTTAATTATGCTCTAGACGACTAGGAGTCGGGCGAAAAATTCAGTACATGAAATGCTAACGTAACTTATGATAATTATCCAAGATTTAAAGTCATACCTGGACTAGCTCAAGCCCCCCTAGAGTTGTGAATTTTCACGTCCACGTCCCCGGGAATTCGGAGATTCAGCATGCAAATGGGAACGGAAGTCGGATGGCTTGACGACCATTGGCCATCCGGTAACAGGAGAGAAACACTACTTTTTTGTATCAGTAGCATATAGTATGCTTACGGTAAAATGTGACCATAACATGGATATACTCATAAAAATGCATTGTCACGGGTGTAAAAAGAACGGTTTGTGCCACATTATCACGTGATAATGCCGTCTGGTTTGTGTGTGTGTGTGTAACTACTTTGTTCTGACTGATCTCCGCTCGATAGGTCAATGACGATCGTCTCAATGTTCTGCCAGTCACGCGACTGAGTAAAACAAGGGAATATACACAAAGTCAGAATGTTTACGGCAGGCAGTTCGGTGTGAAACGTCTGATGAATAGTAGTCACATGATGCATATTTTTTTTTACATACGTCTTGCATCTTCCATGCGAACTTCTGTATGAGGACTGCCATTGGCTAGATTGTCATGGACATGTTCATCTTTGACAGCGCGTCCCACGAATCGATCCTCTGAACCGTGAGTACAAATTCCGGATGCATCGAACTCAAAGATTATTGAAAGATTTCACCGACATGCACAACTTTCCACTACCATGTCCTGATATACACGAAGGACAACGTCACCCGACTGTGTGTGATAGAGCAGTGATTGTGGAGATAGCTGGTTTGGAACACAGCATGGCCCGGGAATTCGGGCGGCATCAAGCAGGTGAACCAGTTGTAGCAGTACTGCGTGGTTCGTTGTGTTGTAGTGAGTGGACAGGGGAAACGGACACTGACCTTGACAGTACCGAGCATTGTACGACGTGGGGGCAATAACCCATCCGGCCCAGCCAACTGCTGCAAAATCGATAATCAGCTCACGACGCTGACACAGGCTGTCCAGGTAGTTCGGACTGTTCATGTCCACACTCAGCGCGTCTGATGAGTCATATCCGTATTGCTCGGCGGTTTTTGACATACCCGTCCCTCGGGATTCTTCTTTCGTGTACCGTTTGGAGTTGTACGCTCTCTGGTCTCTATATCCGTTGGCTGAACTATGTTGACGATATTGGTATGTGTTGGCAGAAGATCGCCACTGATCGTGACTTGATCGACTTTGACGGCGCTGGTAGTAGGCACGTCTTCGAGGACGTCGTTTACGATCAGTGTTCTGGAGTTTGGATTGGAGCAGTTGCTGAAGCTTTTTGTAACGTTTCATGAATGTGCCACCATCTTGCACCTGAAAGTAAGATAGAAAATTCGCAACGGGACTCAGACACTGCGAACGCTTGAATTTTCCGATGAGCAAATATGCATTCGCTAGGCACTTTGGGCAGTTTGAGACTTTACTCCATTGTTCTACATAGTATGATTCTGATGTTAATCTCAGAGCCAGGTTCGAAGCTTGAGGTTTCCTGGCACCGAAATTCTGTATGCATAAAGTCTTTGATGGGTCACTATCAGAGAATTTGCAGCCAGTCGGTCAGTGCTTAAGTTTGATTAAACTGCCGCACGTGATGACACCACAAAGAAACGGAAGACAAAAATGGTTGCAGGCAAAATACGTTTATTCGTGTTGACGAAAAACTCAGCTGAATCTTTCATCTGTGATATTCTTCACCTGAGTGCGCCACACAAAAGTCATCTCACGTTTCACTGGGCTTACCACATGGGGTGACCTTCGTGTAGTCCATTCAACTGAATAGTATCGTGAACGAGGGTTTCCCCAGCTAACAACGCCTACCTGGTGAATCTCTAGAAGTACGAAACCGGTAATGGGCAGTCGAAGAGTTACATCAAGGGGAAATCTTCCCTTTCACGAGGAATTTGTGTTCAGTATGACCTCAATTTCCCCAATCGTCCTCTTCGAACTCACCCAGGAGACTGGGGATCTTTTCCGGGACAAATTACCAAAAAGGGCTCAATAACCTTCAACAGAACACATCACAGGTAGGATGTGCCACGTGGTTAGGAACGACTAACAGAGAACCACTTCTAAGGAGTTGTGGTTGGTACATTTTGCGAGTGGATTTGAGCACACCTTACATTTTCAACGCAGTGTTTTACAAAACTTATCGCACTTAAAACACCGGTTGACGGTAGTTCTCTGACACCAGGCCTTCACGATCTCCTTCACCTAAGAAAATACTTTTGTGACCGTATTCAGGGGTCCGAACAGTTCAAAACATCCATAGTTTCTAATGGCCCAGAGGTTAACCATACTTTGCTATGTATAGACCCCGACTATGCTGGATCATCAACCCCAGAGGAGTTGGAATATCCGTTCCAATCCTCATCATCAGATGTGTCGGCAGTTAGCTTCGGAAAGTTGGCATTCATTTGTCGCCATCCCCCGAGGAAGCTTCCGCACCGAGTAATCAATACAAAACCCTGAGGAAAGAATTAAGCATCACCATGGCGGTGTCATACTCCAGAAAGGTTGAACTGTTGGGATGGTAAATAGTTCAAACAGTTTCACTAGATTCGTAGCTTCATTTCCAAGGTAATCGAAATCAGTTAACCGACTTTCTTTTTACTCTGAAACACCATCAGCTGTTAAAAATGTGCATGACTATTGGTAGCTCTGATGCGTTCATTTGTCATTGATCAGGTGACCGGAAATCTGTTCACCGAGCTTGGCAATTTGTCTGTGAATGCGTCGTCAACAATCGAAGTGACGTCATCGGTGAGTGACTGATTGGTCAATTCCTCCTTACCTACTTGGGTTTACGAATGACTGATATCTATTGATGTGATTAGCGAACCGGAACACATGTTCCTCCAATTCTCGCGGTCAGTTTCGAACAAAACTGTAGTATTCATACCTCTCTGAAAGAATTTTCTCAGACAACTGACTTCAGACTCACTGATGAACGAATATCTTATACCATTGTTGTCTAAACGGACGGCCTAGCAAGGGCACACAACAAAAGCGCTATCCGAAGAAGTTTTCTCAGGAAGACCATATTTAACACAAGAGGTACAACGAACACTTTTCGATCGAAAAACTTTTCGACCGATTGTTGAGACACGATTCAATAGTAAGAAGTTGTCGAGTATTACCACTAGCACTAATTTGACGTTTTTCCTGGCTTCCCAACAAGAGTACTTCTATGAAAACAAATTAAAGCAACCACTGAGGGTTAGAACACAATAGATGATTCGTAACACAACAAGGTCAGGTTATTTTTTTCTGTGAATTCGGAGAGACAGCATGCGACATTTCAGTATATCAGCTCTCGTTTCAGAGCCTTCTATTTTCCACTCAGTAACGTTATTCCAGGGAGTTCGTTGGAAGTGCTCCAACTTACTGACCGTGAAGTCTATCTTTCGAATCCGGCCCCGGATTGTCTGACTGAGTGCTTGGAAATGTGGGCGACTCGGAATTCTTGTGACAGACCAGCACCAGGTCACCTACCTCACCTATTCTTTTCCATCCTTTTCACTCTAAGACTTTAAGTAAGATTAGATAAACTTTGTGGTTTTACAACGATGAAGCATCAATGTGAACTCTGATGTTGCTGTCTCTGAGGATGCTGGTGTTCCACCGGAATTTTTTTCCATATGAACGGTCTCTGAGCCGTTCCCTGTGAGCAGCTGTTTAGACTTTGTGCTTATTGAATTATACTGTGTTGTGGAATTTTCTCCTAAGCTTTTAAAACTGAAATCGAAAAATTCAAATTTGGAAAAGTGCAAGCGAAACCCGCAGAACAATGTTGCTGGCCCGCGGGAAACGAAACCACTGAGTTAATCTGGATGATGGGCCGACCTTTAGCTGAGGAAAGTGCAGGCGTCAGTTACACGTTAGGAATTTTATGGCGGTTTGTCACATCGGATAAGCAGTCTATGAAAGAAAACTCACTCGCGGGCGGGTGATTAGGTGGCCGTTTGTCTGCGTACCGAGCTTGGCAATTCGTTTTTAGACTTTCCATCTCTAATCGAAGTGATAGAATCGGTGCACATTTGGGTGATGACGTCACTGATGCGCACTAATGACATAACCTCAACTCATGACGAAACGTTTTCGGGCAAATTACCAATCTCGGCGGACAGATCAATGGTCACGTGATCAACCACCAATGAGTGCATCCGAGCTACCAATATTGCGGCACATTTCCAGACTTATATTTATGTGTGAGTAAATCGCAAACTGAATAAATGATTACCTACAAAAGTAAGTAGGTAATTAAGTGGATAGACATTAAAAGAATGTTCTGGAGTGGCATTCAAAAGCCCACTACCTACCTTGGTCCTCAGGCTCTCCGTGGTTGATTTGATCGTGGAAGATTCCACTGGTGTTTCGAGCGACAAAGGAACCGATCGACGGGTTCGTCTAACATGCTCGACTAACGCTGGATCGCGGTGGAAAGTGAACAGATGAGGAGCTTCATGCAGCCACTGAGTATCAAGGTACTGTTTTTCACCCGTGCTATCCGGCTTCTTCAACCGCAGAACTTGTTCTGTGTGGGTTGGAAAATGTAAGTCGGATACTAGGCTGCGCACACGCATCGATATGACACGTCCATCGTTGTTTGTGCGGTCCCCGTTTGAACCGTTATTTCGGCTGCTGACTTCCCGTAGCATTGCCAGGATAACTTCATTCAATGGAATGTTGAACCAACCGGCAGGAAAGTGAATCAGTTTTCCGTTTGATTCATCACTGGTCTGACCACAGTACTCAGTGTCCGGTTCAAACGAACCAATCGTTTTAGTTTCATATGTGTCTGACTTGACTGGTGAATTGTAGTGGAGCCAAACGGTGACTGGCCATTTCTCGTGGTGAGCCGTATCCCTACATTGTGTGTTTACGGTTGTCCGGTTCCAATCCTCTGTGGGGACATATCGGAGACGAATACTTGCTGCCAGAAGTTGCTCGTTCCCTGGCATATCAGCCAGTTTAAAGAAGAGATTATGTTCGCTTTCAAGTGGCGAAAACGGATTGGTCGAACGCCTCGTTCTGGCCCATTTGGAGCCATGCTCTTCTGTGTCTGAAAAAGACCACAAGTCACATTGTATCACTCAGTTTCGTAGACATGCTCTCTACCAATGAAAAGTTTGAATAATGTTTAAGTTTATGAGTTTTTAAGAATAACGTGAACTCCTCGTTTCGCGCCACTGTTTAGCTGGCTTTACCGAAATGAAACGATTTGTACCATGGACACGAATGCCGGTCTGTGAATGTGGTTTTGTTTGTTTACGGTTCAAAAAAATCGCTTGCGCGGCGAAGAAACAGATCGCGTTATCGAAAGCTTGTTTCACACACTGTAACAAGTATATTCCTTCAGGAACCTGCTGGGAGAGTAACAATTTTCCTATCGTCCTTTTCGCCGACAACCCATTTGTGGGGTTTCAAACTATCACGAAGGTCAGCTTCCTGGAAGCAACCACTGAATGCCCGAAATCTACAGAGACTGTCAGCTGCGCTAGATGTTGACCAGACAGACAACACTCCCTCAATATGCAGCGCGTCACAGTATTGTATCAAACATAGACAGCGCGAGTCAGCGTTGATGAAGGTCAGACAACGCCCCCGCAATATGCAGCACGTCGCAGCCTCGTACCAAGGCCAGATCGTATGCGTCAGCATTGGACCAAGTTCAGACAGTCCCTCCAATGAATAGCTTGAAGCCATTGGACATTCGCACTCGCTTGTTCGGAGTACAGCTGTTGTGTTCCCTTCTGTGAGTCTTTTTTTCGGCAGTAGGCGCTGCAGCGGGTCGGCATTCAGATACCTCAGATTGGCGAATCAGCAGATATAGCACAAACCAAGGTTTTTGAAACTTTAGTCCGCAGTCCTTTTTACGCAAGCACGATTGTGGATCAGCAGATGTCCGACGCCATCAGCTCACGCGTTACAAACACTCAAAATTGGAAAATAGGTAACTACGGAGCCAAGTCGGTGTGTCAAAAGAGTTTTTAACCGCACACACAAGCACTTTCTCCTCAAAATCATCGCGGTTAATTGTATGTAAATCGACAGTTTCAAATTCAAATACCAGATCTATGGGAACTGTGGGGGGAGGGTATTAACGGTTACCAGACGTGTTCAGCTGCTGAGGCAATGTTAGAATGAGCGCAAATAGCGAAATGCGTTCGGCCCAAACAGTACGGACTCGATTACATGGGTAGGGAATTTAGACTCGCAACGCAGTAAAGAGGAGCGATAACTGATTAGCAAGATGTCTTGTTCAGAGAAATTTCAATCGCCGCTTGTTCCTGTGATTTAATATGAAACTGAAGAAATGATAAGTGCACTAATACAAGGACTACGGAGCCAGTCAGTGTGTCAAAAGAGTTTTTAACCGCACACACAAGCACTTTCTCCTCAAAATCATCGCGGTTAATTGTATGTAAATCGACAGTTTCAAATTCAAATACCAGATCTATGGGAACTGTGGGGGGAGGGTATTAACGGTTACCAGACGTGTTCAGCTGCTGAGGCAATGTTAGAATGAGCGCAAATAGCGAAATGCGTTCGGCCCAAACAGTACGGACTCGATTACATGGGTAGGGAATTTAGACTCGCAACGCAGTAAAGAGGAGCGATAACTGATTAGCAAGATGTCTTGTTCAGAGAAATTTCAATCGCCGCTTGTTCCTGTGATTTAATATGAAACTGAAGAAATGATAAGTGCACTAATACAAGGATTTAGAGGTAATTTCGGCTGTATTGGAGTCGAAAAGGTGCTTTTTATCTACAGAGGTAAAAGCCATGTGGTTACCTCAAAGTGACCGTTGACATTTCCTTATGTAAATTTGTGATTGATGAAACGGATGGATGGTGGCCCATAACGTAGTCAACAGGAGGCAACTCACCCGAATAATTTGGCTAAACGAGAGTGATGTGAATGTGAGTTCTGAACTCCCGCAACCAACTACACCTCTATGACAAAATGAAATGAATAACAATGTGGAATTCGGTTCCAATAAATAGCGTGAAGTACAGAGTAGGGTTGGGAACATACCTGCAATTTGTACAATTCAGTTAATAAGCACGATCCACCTAAAGCACGGTGAGCGCCTCTCCGTAGTGAAAGCATTTCGATCAGTTGTCAGAAGACCCAATCGCTGCGCCAAACGTATGCCCATGCGTTCGGTGCAAACAATTCACCTGTGCATGTCATGTGACTGTCAGTCGACTGTGGATGTTGTTCACTCAGATGGGCCAGCACGACAGTCAGGTTGTTACCAATCCGAATGGATATGTATAACCTTGAAGTGGGGAGTGTGGATGTCTATGAGCCGCTAACGCTTGAGGCCCCTGTCTGAGAAAGTAGTCTCGTCGACAGTATTTGGTCGGTGTTGGAATGATATAGGATCGCGATGTGGCGCTGGCAACCAAGTGCGTGTCAGTCCACCAACTGGCTGGAAGTTAGGTCACCAACTTCAACAGAAACCACCTTATGCGGATTGCAGCTGATGAACTCATGTCGGGTATGGTTCTCACCCGGCTGACTGTGCTCTCCTAAGTATATTAAGTTCCCCTTATCCATGCACTGCCACTCGCGCGACAATGCTGTTTTGCTTCGGACTGTTACATGAAACGTATAGTGCCTCCGTCCTACAGCTCGGATTGGCAATCAAGATGGGCTCGTTCAGACCTGTTCGCTAATATGACTGTGATTCACCGAAGTCAGGCTGTTCAATTTGTTATGAAACCTTTGAAAATTGTACAGTGAGGTGTAACACTGTTAAGCCATTCTTTGTGCACTGACAATCTATTCACATTCTCGAAAAACCGAATCTATCCCCTATTGTGCGTAGTCTGTCAGCAATCTTGAAATCGCACCTACCAACCGAAAACCAACCTTCACGGCTTGAATAGCGGTGCGGTTGCCTCTGGACGGTATCCACACTCATGACAGAGCGGGACGGTATTCAAGCTTAACTCGATGGTCTATCGGCCTGACGTAGATACTAGATGTGCCTCCTTCCCTTCCATTACTGAGCCTTAATTTCCGCATCGCACGATACGCCGTCCCAACATGCTTACACCGAAGCTTGGAGATAATCGAAGGATTTACCTGACTCTAGCTACTCTGACAAACGTGTTAGCAACAGTAAGGGAACCAAATCCACGAACGGGCCAATTCAGCCACACGATCATGTGACCATAGTCAGCAACAGGGGGATGAATTGACGTGAGTCGTTTGCTGCATCGAGCGGAACGCACCAACTGGGGGTTCCGACAGCTGAGCGAAATCTTCGGGTTTCGAAGACGCGCACACCGTGTCGCAGGTGGATTGTGCACAATAAACGACTTGAAAAGATTAGATCTCCACTTACAAACATCGTCTACTTCACACCTAGTTCACTCACGCCGATACCCTTTCAGCCACAATTTGTCTTGAGATTGCAGAAGGGGATGAAGAGCGACAGTCTCAACTGTGTTCAACAAACATTCATTTCTGGAAGTAAAAATGGTACAAAGGACCTGAATCTACCTAATGACCTCCATCAGTGTAGTGCATAGCAGTGGTACTTTTTGGAGTCTCGTCCTTGGAAACCTGGGACTACTTATGCCTGTTGATCAGATGACTGTTGCTCCATCCGTTTAGCAACGTTTAGTCACCAACGTAGTAACATCATCAGTACGCGGGCAGGATGTCACTCCGTCCCTGCCTGAATGCGTGTATGTAGTTTCGAAGGAGTATCTGCTGTCATTTGTTTTAATAGGCGTCCATCAGCGGCTAATTTAAGTGTCCAAATTACTAGACGGTTTTGAGACTCCTTGGAATTCCATGTGTGCGTAATTCTCGGCCTTGCAGGACGAAATTTCCAGTAGATATTCTAAAATCTCCTCACACTACTAACAATGTTAGTCTTCTTCTCCATTCATGCGTTTCATGAAGCCATGTTTCCTCAGCGGATAACAGGAATCATGCTGAAAACATGCCTTGTAAGCGACTGGTATGAAAACAACAGGGTCTTTGAGGTAGACTACTTCTTGGAGCTATTCGGTGATACAGTCCGGCCAGTAAATATCAGATGTTTTTAAGATTTATCCAAAATGTTTCTAAATGAGTATTGCAATGATAGTTTGAGGCCTTCGTTCACAGCTAAGGGTGAAAATAGAACTATGGGGCTAGTGAATATTTCTGACTGATCACTCGACGGGTTGAACGTTCGATTCTGTCTAAACCGTTGGCAACAGGAGTTTACCAACCAGAGACGTTCTCAGCATAAAATCCGGTTGGTTTGAATAAATTCTTTCGCTGTCTGCAGTCATCAGCAGAGCTTCATTTTTATAGGTGATGAAAATGAATTATTGTTTCCCCACTAATAACATGATACTCGTACAGAAGAGAAGTTCAAACGGAGCTAGGACCGTTTGTTCAGCCTGCTGAGTGGGTCAATTAGGATGAAAGCTTCCACTCCGATCCTTCAGATGCTTGAGCAGTTAGCACTGTTACTCACTTTTACGAGGAAAAAAGATAGAAGCACTGGGGGGAATGTAGTTTAGCAGAACAAAATAACTAACTGGTTTATTTCCTGCCGTATTAAGCCACTGGGTTGGTAATTTGGATCTGGTAATAAACCGAAATAGTTGTTTATCAGTTCTCTTTGTTATTCTCTCTTCCCCCAAGACTTTTTTCTGCAAATTGTGGACACGGATATTCATGTTAGTTATCATCCGATGACCGGGGATATCCCATGCAGTTCGCCTTTTAGGATGGTATCCACGTGACCCTCTTTGTGCTTGGTTGGAGGCACGGAAAATTATGGTGGCCAACCACTGTCGGTAGCGTTTGTGCTGTCAGCTTCTATCCAGCTTGTCTGACTGAGCGCCTAAAAGTAAGCTGGCCTTATGTCCCTCGCTCTGTCTCATTTCTTTTTCAACATTGTGAGGCTCTAACAAAATAAATTACTGCGCTTTTATGGCAATGAAGCACAAATGTTCTCATCTGGCGTCATCGTCAACGATGATGACGGTGATTTGCCACGTTGGGCTTACCAGTTATTAGTGCTCTAACCACGGACGACGTTCTGACTCAGAACCCATTTCCAATTACTGCTGAACTCCAGAAGAACTCTGTGATGATACGTGTGCGGTGGAATGAACGTACGGCGTGTTCTAGGGAGTCACGGCATCGCCATACATTGGACTGCCAATTGGTTGGCCGAACCCGAAATTTTATGCATGTGGTGCGGTGGAAGCTGATCCTCCATTGTTGATCAATAAGATGGTTTTGATTGGAAGGGCGAATACGAACGAGGACCATGAGGACCAACCATAGAGGGATCAAACTGGTTTGGATCTTGGTTTTCAGGCCTGCATGTCGTAGCGACCCAGTCACCCACATACTTGACTGTTCAACTCACAGTCGCTCACTGGATCGCGAAGCTTGTCTTTTTTCTCATACGCACAAACACGTCGCATTAAGCTGGCTCATCGGACATCGACTGTCTGCACCGCCTAGTCAGCGTAGCAACCACTCATGTGCCGACGCGCCCACGTATACGCACTGGGACCTACATGAAGAGAAACCAAACCCAGTCAACACACAGACTCGCGCGCGCGCAGGGAACAGGACGTCAACCTCTCCACAAGTCCACGGACAACCATGGAGTACGTGTAGCAGTCGAACTGCGGAGAAAAACACGTTCCCGCCGTCCGGACTTCCACCAAGGGACTCTCGCATCCGATAAGTTCCCTTTTTGACTTGCTCCCATTTCACATTGTATTTATTTTTATACGTGTCGCAGAAATACTAAAAGCTTTTATTAGTGCACATTCACCTTCTGATTTGTATTATGGCTATCGTCACCTGTGCACTAATAACTGGTGAGCCTGACGTGACTGAACTCAGGTAAATCCTGACAATTATTCATTTGGACTCCCATATATTCATATTTCTACTCATGTCTGACACTCCTACGGCTCAGTCACCAACCCCCCTATTAACTCAGCCAAATATCGATGCCGCGTCTGTCCATCTTCCATCATTCTGGAACTACTTCATGCATCCACTCGCTCCATCAGCAATGCGCTGGCAAGTTTTTTTCATGTTCTACATTACATTTCAACCCCCGACGGACTCTCATCTCTGAAACTCTTTATTCGACGTTTCTTATGGCGAATATGAACAAAGACATACGTTCATGGACAAGGCTTTGTCTATAATGTCAACGTTCAAAGATACTTCGCCATACTTACACTCACATCGGTACCTTTCCCACTTCGGACTACCGATTCGACCATGCTCACTCGATGCTGTTGGATGTCTTCCGCATCTATTTTCCTCTTTCGCTGGAGGGGGAGTAGCTGTAGCGACCCAGTCACCCACATATTTGACTGTTCAACTCAGCCGCTCACTGGATCGCGAGGCTTGTTTTTTTTCTCATATGCACAAACACGTCGCATTAAGCTGACTCATCGGACATCGATTGTCTGCACCGCCTAGTCAGCGTAGCGACCAATCATGTGCCGACGCGCCCACGTTTACGCACTGGGACCTACATAAACGCAAACCGAACCCAGTCAAGACACAGACTCGCGCGCGCGCAGGGAGCAGGACGTCAACCTCTCCACAAGTCCACGGACAACCATGGAGTACGTGTAGCAGTCGAACTGCGGAGAAAAACACGTTCCCGCCGTCCGGACTTCCACCAAGGGACTGTCATGTACGATAAGTTCCCTTTTTGACTTGCTCCCATTCTCGCACTGTATTTATTTTTATACGTGTCGCAACCATGCTAAAAACTTCTATTAGTGCACATACACCTTCTGATGTATTATGGTTACCACCACCTGTACACTAATAATGCACTAATGTTGATGAACATGCTCAATGATACCTGACGATTGAGTTTGCTGTTGCACAGCGGGTTGTGTGTACGTGGACTCATCTGATCCTCCAGTGATGGGACTTGGACCTGGTTGAGATGACGGGGATCCAGCAGTCAAAGTGGGTGTGGCCACACGCTTAATCTTAGGTCCTTTTGCAATTACTCCAAAGGGAAGCATCTTAATTCCACCAGAAGCTTGCAGCGCGACCGAAGTCAGGTGAAATGGCGTGGACTCACCAAAATGACGGCGCCAGAACATGAGGGAAACGTTTCAAACCACAGCAATTCGAAGGTAAATGTTATCTTCATTATTTATTCTTGACAGTCACTCCAACTAGATCCTTGGAAGGAACAATCAAATATCTGCAATGAAGGTAACTTTGTTTTGGTCACTCGCTCCTTCTTCATCCAAGTCATCAAAAGGCGGAATATTACTCACCAGAAACAGTTTTTTCTGCAAACAGTGAACCATAACCAATGAATTCAGGTTATATCACTTTTCGTTAGAAAAAGTTAAGTTAATTTTCGAACCTGATATTGGAAAAAAGTTACTTCGAGCTGCCCAGCTGGGAATACCATAGAGGATACACTAGATGTCTTTATGCCGAATCGTTCGCCTGAGCAGCAGGCCACAGTTAATTACCATGGGTGGACAAGCCAGAACAAAGTTCGAGGTGCGATATGAGACTTAATCTGTCCTTATCCCCGTCGCCAGTGTAGGTGTGACGTTGATCAGGCTGCTACTCGGGAAGTCTGGATGCCATCCTGATGGTTGTATGTCCAGTTTGCTTGTGGTATAGTCCGTCCAATTGAATGGCGATTAGAGCAATCAGCACCAGTACACTAGATCTTAGTAAACCAATGGAACGGCAAACAAGGTTGTCTAAATCAGATACTCACCATTACAGCAGTTTAGGCATAGATTTGAATGACTTTGGCAGACGGTGGTGCGCTTCATTCTAGTCGAAATTAACTGTTAGCTCATAGACTGTTTTCAACCTATTAACTTAACTCTGAGTAGTGCCTTCAAGTGGACTCGAGTTAATCAAAAACCTATTACCTCCCTTCCAAGTGAGACTAAGCTTAGAGTTCAGGAGATGCAGCCTGTTTCATCACGGTTGCATAAAAGTCGCTGACTAGAGTAAGCTCATCAGGGTGTGGTCCCGAATTGGATCAATGCGATCTCCTAAAGGTATGAAAAATGGCTACCCAATCGCTTCAAAAAAAGCCACGGAGCAGTGTGCGAGCAGTATGTCTTCTTCAAGGTAGATGGTTCCTTAGGTAGATGGATCCTTATAAATTTTGCAATCCTGAGCATTCAGCAACGAAGAAGAAGAGTTCACTCAAGTGGCTGAGGAGTCACGAAGAGTTACTTTGACCAGAATGACGAGGAGAAAACGTCCCTAGATATGATAAAGGGACACTTACATGAAATCTAGCCTTTTCAACCAAAGTTGAGGTTTACTTATATACTACTTGTGTAGGCCACTTTCCCACCTTGAAAAGGAACCTTCACTAAGAAAATGGTCCACTGAATCACCAAGGTATACCTCAGCAAGATACACATATGTTGATAGTTTCATCGAATGCGTGGGCACTTTTCATAGCTATTCGATCCACGAGGGTTTCGATCAAGCCATTGTTTAGATCGGGTGATGTAATAGGTTTCCAAAGAACCCTGATCCGGTACCTTTGATTCAGGCGGATCACTTCGCCCTCCATAAAGATGTGCTGCGTTTTCATTCATTGACTATCACTCAGTTGTAAATGAACGTTGCAAAGCAGTTCCAAAGGTCCCGTAGCAACCCCCATGAGGTGCACCTTCCCTTAGACTTCAGGCGTAGTTACAAGAAAACCACATACTACTCACATGCTCCATTAGTAGTATCTGCCGTGACACCAGTTCGCGAAGTACACACAATTGCACACTAGCCGTGACAGTAGTTCACGAAGTACACACAATTGCACACTAATTTGTTTTTAACGGAAGACCCAACTGAACCCCGGATGAACCTCGGGAATCGTGTTTTTACAAGGAAATACGCTGCGTAGTGGCGATCATTCTACCAGCTGGCCTGTGCGCAACACACGCAGTTGGAAAACGATATCACAACGAGAGATTCGGTTTAATCCAGCTGAGTATGTCAAAAAAACCACATTGCTGTGCAATTCAGTGTAGTTCGAAAATCGCATCCGATGTGAGTTCAAGTAGAACATAAAACTTGCTGAAGGAAACTTTGGCACTGCTCCTACCTAATGAGTCTGAAGTACGAAACCAGTTATGGAGGTTGAAGAGTCTTCATCAACCTTTTGAGTAGCAGCGATAGCCGAAAATCACAATAATTGTAGCGCAAATGAAAGTAGGACTGTATAAATTGACACGTGTTTATCAGATGACCTAATGTGCATATACCTCTCTCTCTCCCTAAACCAGGTACCCCGGACAAACCACCACAAGCCATAGACAGGAAACCGTAGTCCGCTTGTATATTCCATTGAGCGACCTTGAGTTACTTTTTGGCGCCTTGCTTGGCTTATCTGTCGTTTACACTCACGTTGTTGTTTCCATCCAGTCTTCTCCCTTACATCACCCAAACTGTGTGGATGTGTGCTTTGCGTGTCCTGCGTTCTTAATAATGCCAATTTCATACCCGTTGTGTATCGTCGCTGCAACCCGCTGAATGTCGAGTGCCGCTGACTACTACATCAGATCGAAGCAACCGTCAAAACTGATAGATTCAGGTGAATACTGCTGACTGACTTGTGTATGTTTCGACTCTGACCACTTGAACCTGCAGCCAGGTGTATTAATATCAGATCGAAGCAACCGTCAAAACTGATAGATTCAGGTGAATACTGCTGACTGACTTGTGTATGTTTCGACTCTGACCACTTGAACCTGCAGCCAGGTGTATTAATCACTGGTAGACCTTCCAGCGCCAAATTACCCATCAATCGACCATAGTTTTGTATGTATTACGTGGTCTTGAAGTGGGAAGAAGGTCGATTTATCTAATTCTGCTTTGAATTACTTTTAGACTGTCTAACAGCGAAAAGCAACATCCAGCAATCTCCCAAGAAGAGCACTCAGCGAGGTTAACCACACGGAATCAGGCCTTCTATTGATCTGATTGGGGACTGTTCAGTAAGCATCCTTTCTAGATAGCCATCCATTTTTCTCATTAAAGTCAGAAGGACTGGGTAATTCAAATGATACAGCGGACCAACGATTCTAACTCTGTACGCGGATTCGATCAATCAGCCAGTTTGACTGGATTCAATTTCGATCGATGAGGGCATGACAAATAGAACACATACGTGATGAACTTTATTCAGTCAGCCTGATCAGCAGTTAGGCATTCTTAAACTTATTGATTTTTTCGGCCGAAAAACCATTTGAAAAACTATTTGTCGAAGGCCAAACTTAGCGTTACTAATTCCGTAACAGATCCACTTTAAACAGTTATTTCTGATCACGTTTGAAAAGATAGTTTTCATTAGCTGCCAGTTACTTTTCCTTCTGTTTTGGCTACGCCACTTATATTCATTTGTGTATGTTTTCCTGCTTCCCAGTTCCCACAATTCGAGTTATGATGAACGGGATACACAACACCGGTTGCCCATCAAACATGGTAATTTACTTTACGACTTGGACAATAAAATTGTGTGAGTGTGTGTTTTGTTCGCATGAAACCAAAGAAAAAACAGTTGATCCCTCGAAGCGCAGACAAGTTGCCCTGTGTTATAGTTGGTTTCGGATGGTTATCTGATAACCTTGAATCTGTTGTATGGAAACGGTGAGAGATGGAAATCACTTTCTCCGGTTCGATTTCGGTCGGAAAAAATACTGGCCACCGTGAGAGATCACATGTTATTGTAGGTGGATTGTATGGAGGCTAACAAGCTCCACTTCAGTCGCTAGCAAGCAGTAAGTACACAAAGTTATCGATTGAGGATGATGGGAATAGTTTTATGTCCAAAGTTCTGAAGACAGATAAATGGGCCGTGACTAAGGAGCAGATCTCATTGTCGTCAGTGACATCGAGTTCACAGTTGAGCAATTCATTACAGTTGGTGTCATATGGATAGCTTATAGTCCAAGAGGGAGAGTATGAATTCAGGCTGAGTGCCAGCTACTTTTCCTTCGACGAAGTTTCCAAGAGGACTCACATAACGCAGACTGACGTTATTATACAGTGTGTCACAGTGTACATAAAACATGGCTATTCAAGGAGATCATCTACTGGAAACGATCACGAAACGGCGAATTCTGTCCCACTTATTTGTGGGATAGTTGAGAACTACCTTCACGACCTTAGCGCAGTAGACATGCAAAACGGCTCTTCAACCCTTCAAAAGGAAGCTGCTATCAGGGAAGCCTTCTGAAATATCCCCCCAGGGGAAAATACTTCATTCTGAATTATGGCTACGTAATTGCATCTAGTAAAATTTGTGGACGGTGGTGTGCCTGCAAAATGATGTAACCAACCTTTCCAAACTAATCTAAAACATAGTGAACAATATGGTTTTATACGTTCCACCATTTACACAAAAGGTCCTGAATGGTTTCAAATTCTAACTTTGTGATAGAGTAGATCTCAACGCAACAGATACTCAGGTAGTCTCTCCCGTGAGTTAAATCACTTTATACTGGGAAGCTGAAAAGTACCATAGAGTAATTAGCGAATATATACTCATTTGCAAACTAATTTGGTTCTTTCGAGAGACTCAAATGGAACTCAGCTGAATCTCTCGTTTATGATGTTCTCAGGCAACTGAAGAAGTGCGGAACCGGTCGTGGGCTGTCGATAGATTTTCAGCAACCTTATGAGTAGTACATTACAAGGATATGCCGTAAATTAATTTCATCATTATTAGGAATCACGCACCTGCAGATAAATTCCAATCCGCTGACTCCCGGCTAAAGCTAAACTTGTTGAATGAAGGCAGCTGATCAGCAGTGTGCTCAACTCGCTGTTAGACAGAGGTCGCTGATTACTCAATCACGGAACTCACTTCAAGTGTTCGTTTGTGAGCACTCTTCTCGTGTGACTACTTCGTGGACGGAAGGTTCATTCTTTGTGTGACCTATTCTTCCTTCAGAGCTGATTACTTTTCGTGGATAGTTTGGAATTTCAGTGCCGAAATCCGAGCCGCACTGTACAGCTGTTTCATGCTTGTTAGAAATCACCGGTAGTGCATGAGTCTGCCGGGAGAACGGAACCCAAGACTTACCGCCTATCGACTGAAGACTGCACCGTTCGGCCTCAAAATGATCATTTAAAGGGAGCTACTGGATGAGTCTGATAAGTTCTCCTTCACAAAAATATGGAGCTGCCTCTTGCTGCTCAGAGTGCTTGTCTGATCGCATGAC